GAATTCAGTAAAGCACACACGTTGAAAGCCCCGCGTGCCGGGAGAAAGGAAGGCTATCCGAAAAATAATCTCGCGTGGCGATCACTATTTACGAATCCCAATTTTGATCTTTGCACTAAGGCTTGTCTTTCCACTGGGAGCTAAAATGCCTGTTTATTTTTTATTCAGTATTTGGAATAAAGTCTTTGAATGAGCTGTACAGATTACCGATCCAGCCCCTGGTTTTACAAGTAAGGAAACTGAGGCCCATGGCGATGTGCATTGCCTGGTTCGAGGTCACTCAGCTGTGGCCCCGCTGTGCAGCTCGAGAGTGAGGGCTCCGCGACGGAGTTCACTCCGTCCCCCCGACCCCTGTGCTTCGCCCCTGACTTTCTTCACAATAGTGGCGCAGAAATGTTTCAAACTGGAGGGCCACCTGGCGCTTCCGGAGTCCAGAGACTCCTGAGACCGAGATCGTCGGTTCTTTAATCCCACTTTCCTTTACCCGCGTTCCCTCCTGGTATTCGCGCTGAGAAATTTTGCTCCTTGCAAACAAAGAAAGACAGTGCCCTCTGAAGTCCTTTGTTAGCATTAACTCGTCAGCTTCACCAGGAGCCTTTAAAAATCTGTTTCATATTTTAATTTTTTATGCAGTCTCGGCTGGAGACCGTTTCACAAAGCCAGAGACCCCCGATCAATTCACGGTAAGAACCACGTTGAGGAGAGGCTGGGGGCGGCAAGGTTAGGAGAGATGCGGCGAGCAGAGCCCAGGCCCTGAAGGAGACGTGGATAAAATCAGCCAAGTCCAAACGGATGGAAACACTGTAGACCCCGGAGAGAGGTGCTGAAAAGGTGGGAGGTGGAAATGTGTGGCTGTTGCACGTATGTATGTCTTTTAAAAACAAGTTTCTGTAGCCTGTAGCAAGGTGTGGGGAAGCCGATCAGGCAGCCTCTAGCACACCTTCTAGATAAATCCTAGACGTGCTTTGTCTGCCTCGGTTGTGGGTCAAAAGCAAGCACGTTGGTTTCGAAGACCAAATGTTAATGTCTTCCATTGTGGGAAATGTTCTGTTTAAGTTTGGAGATTAACGCTTTTTCTCATTATGGAGAAGTATTTCCTTCTTCAGTCACTTACCAAACCTACCTAATACACTGTCTAGATGGCCCTGCCTAGAAGTGGAATAAGTACATAGCTCAGTTGGTTGGTTGGGGATTTTGCCACCAGAAGCCCCCGAGCTGGAGACAAATCTGTTTCTGTTTCGTCTTTACCACCTGGAAACTGCAGTGTTCTTAACCAAGGAGACAGAAAGGTCACTTCTCTTTGCAAAGAGCTTTGCTGAGCAGGCAGGGCTGAGATAGGAATGAAATCCTCTGCCCATTGTGTCATCATCCACTGATGCCATTTTCCTGCGTTTTTTATACCTAATGTTGCCACTTTCTATATCTCAAAAAATGAAAAAAAAAGTTGTAGACTAAAAAATCTTGAAATGTATTCAGCGACCATATATATTTGCTTCATCTGCCTCAGGGAGATAAGCAACACAAGGGAAAAGAAATTAGTTATGTAGACTATAAAAACTGGAAAACATTTTCCTGCTGAAAGAGACAGGAATTAAACTTGCATTTTGGGAAAACATGTGTGCAGCCGATGACCTACAAACTGTACACTGGTTTACTTGAGCCAATGCGTGAAAAGTTTTTTAGCCATTGGCAGTTGCTAATGTTAATCTCACAGCAGAAGATGATTTGCAAAGTTAGCATATTTATAATCATAGCAACTCAAACTGTGTAATTCCTACAGCATCTCTCAGCCAGTCCTGAAGGTAATTCTTATCACCCCACGCACAATGAAGAAAAGGTGAGTAAGTCTCATATCTACCTGTACAGGGAGAAAATTCTAAACAGGGCTGTTGATCAAACTGGATGATAGCAGATATGTGAGTCACAAACAACTCCACAAGGAAATGCCACCCATATCAATATTGTGCAACAGCCAGCACCTCACTCAAGGTATTAGGCCAATACCATAGGCTTCTTGGAGCTGGTCTTTGCCTCTGCTTTGTGACACCAAACCAAGGTCTCATTTTTTAATGCTATTAAGAAGCTGTGCCCAAGGCTTTGGCCTTGTTATCTCCCATAACAACGTTACTTTGTTAGGCTGCGAAATAAGCAGCATGGGGTTAAATGTATTAGCTGCCTTCAAACCTAATTTATCTTCATTCCTTCTTAATTTACACTTGAATGCTATTAAGAAGCTGTGCCCAAGGCTTTGGCCTTGTTATCTCCCATAACAACGTTACTTTGTTAGGCTGCGAAATAAGCAGCATGAGGTTAAATGTATTAGCTGCCTTCAAACCTAATTTATCTTCATTCCTTCTTAATTTACACTTGGGCTGAATTAATGAGAATGATTTAATTAGCATCATGGTACCAGGGACAAGACAGCTCAGGGGATTAAACCAAACAGTGGGCTAAGCAGCTGCCATCCTGCCTCCTGTGGTCACCCGAAGCCCCACTCAAATTTCAGATTTGTTCCCTGCTGGTATTCCAACAGCACCCCCTTTGTACTTTGATCCACTTGGTGAATCTGTGTGAGGAAGGTGGCACAGCTTTCCATCCTTGTGTTGTTTGCTAGGTGGCCGTCAAGGCCATGCCCTGTGGAGTCACTGTGGCAGAAGGGCCAGTGGCCCACCAAGGATTTGTATTGCTCCTTCCATAGCGTCAAGTTTGTGCTGGGAAGTAGATGCCTGGACGACTTCCAGCTGCACATATATTGGGATCAACACGTATGGAAGGGAAGGGAAGGAAGCAGGATGCACAGAGGAAAAGTTGAGCAGGGATGCAGTCCCAGCCAAGGCCTCGGCCGACCCCATGGGGACTGTGGAGCTGAAGTGACCCTGAAGAGTTGTCCTCAGTTAAGATGAGAAGGCCAAGCTTTTGTACAGCTACATCAACCAGGTACTGAATGCAGGCTGCCCAGGGAAGCGGCCACAGCTTTGGGCAAAACGGCACTCTTTTGCAGAGGGAGTTCCGAAGAGGACTGACAACTGAGTGCCATCTGCCACCAGTACATCCAGCAACTGGGGGAATCAGTCCTTCATTCCTGAAGGAGGATCTGAGGGGCTCAGCGCAGTGCCCACCTCAACCCTTCATCCTAATACACATGCACACACCTAGGGAAATGAGACCTCCACTTCTATCAGCAATGCTCTTATTTTCAAAAAGGGGGAGAAAAGAAAAATCTGGCCATTTATGAAAGAGTCAGTGATAAGGAAAAAGACAGGTAATCAATACAAGAAGTCATCAGCATTTTATATGTCATTTTATCATTTTTCTCTCTGGGGAAAAACAAGGACTTCTAAATTTTGTTTTGCTCTCTTCTGCATTTATGCTTTATTTTAATTGTTGTGTTTGTGTTAGGTATCTGTTATGATAAACCTTGAGAGTATTCTTCAGATTGCATCCAAATTGGTTTGCTCATATTTTAAAATTTCAGTTGCTTCCTACATTCATTTTATGTGCTGCCTGTGTGTATTTTGTGAATTAAATTGGATTATAGTCTGATTTTTAACTTCAAATTCCAGTTGTCCATTGCTGCTACATATGAATACAATTGACTTTTGTATTATGATTTTTAATGGAATGTTTTGTGTGAAAGTCTATCTTTGTCCTTAACGTGCTAAACTCTGCTGTTCATATTGAACTCCTCTATTAAGAGTTGTTCTAACTGGGAAATTCATTCTTCCTTTGAGACTCCCTCATCTTATACAGCTTCAAGTGACATTTCAAGGGATAGACAGTTTATTGGCTGCTTACAGGATTGCAGAGGGACATATCTGAGTCACCTTTTCCCTGGTTATAACTCTATAAAGTTTGGTCATTAGGAAATCAAGTGGTCTAGGCTGCTTATGTTATTTCTGCTCCAGGACCCTTCAAGCCTTCACAGCCTGTTGTAGGTTATAGGTTTTAGAGTCAGGATTTTAAAGCAGCATTTATTATTTTCTCTGATTACAAAACAATGCATAGTACAAATTTAGAAAATAGAGAAAAGCAAAAGAAATACTGTAAACCTACCATTTGGAGATAATGATACTGAGCATTTAAGCTCCAGTCTATGTCCACATAGTATTTTATTTTTAGTGGGTAAGTGGGTAAGGGCAGAGACTCCAGAACCAAGCTTGAATTTCTGCTTCTGCATTTACTAGCTGGGTGTCTGGGAGACAAGTATTATAATATCTTGGTGCCTTAGATTCCTAATCTGCAATATGGGAAAATAACAGTACCTGGCTAGAGGGCTGTTTGGGGGATTAAATAAACTAGTGAAGGTAAAATTCATAGAACAGTGCCTGGCTTGTGGTGAGTGCTATATAATGCTTGCTTTTATAATGATTCCTTAGTGAGCTGTTTAAGATATTTCCAAGTAACTCTCCTATGTAACCCATAGTATTTCCAAGTAACTCTCCTAAGTAAAAGTGATTTGAATCCTTATCAAAGTTCCTATTTCCACACGTGCTCAGTAGCACTGGGTTATGGGATACTTTCATGTCTTGAATGAGTTCACGTATCTCTTGGAGTGTTTATTTGAGGCTTTGCTCTTTTTGCTCACCCCGGAAGCTGACAGCTTGTACAATAAAAGCTGAAATTCATGGGGTCCGCCTTTGCCTCTTTCCATCTCTTATTGATATTGTCTTCATGTTTTGTACTGGGACCATTCATCTTAAGTTGGTGATGGAGAAACGATTCTTCACTCTCCATTACCTTCAAAAACTAAGCTGCTACAAAGGGAAAAGTATTTAAGAAATCACACATTTAAAAAAGAAATAACTTGCTGTATTTAGAAGAAAGCAGCTCTGCCAAAACACAGCATAAATGGAATATAGGCGCCTATTTTTTTCTGCCCTGAAGATCTTGTAGGGTATGCTTAGGAAAGCTCACTCCCATCTATCAGAATCACAGCAGGCCTTTGTGAGGCGTGGCCCTGCACAACCCAGGGAATCTCAAACCATTTTCCTCCTATTTTCCATAATCTTTTGAGTGCCCCAAGGCTTCTGGATCTAAACTCTTAATTTGTTCTAAGTAATTACATTCAAGAATTGACCGTTGTTCGAAGCAATGAAAATGAAGGTTTTGTTTGGCCTATATGCTCTGCTTCCAGGGCAAGATGCCAAGTCTCTGAGCATGTCTGGGCATGAAGAAGGGACCAGAAGAAGGGACCTTTGTGGTCCAGGAGCTTGCACCTTTGAATGGATATTAAACGGATTTTATGGCATGCTGTGAGCACAGACCTGACTCACTGCATACAGCTCAGCTGGACAGGAATCTAAATCAGGAAGCTGCAAGTTAGCATTACCAGAATGAAGAAGGAGAGAGAGAGGGAGATGCTGGTGAGTGTCTTGTCTTAAAGGAAGTTCTCATGAGCATTTCTCCTCCTCATTTTCAAAATACAACATGAGCGAGGATATAAACTCATATACACAAGCACTCACAAATTTCCTTTAGCCTCGTGTGTAAGTTTAGAAAACATTAGCTATAAAATTCCAAATAAAGTTGGAAGACTTGCTTTTTCTTTCTTGAGGATATTTGGAAATATTGAAATATCAGGAGGAAATAGTAACCTTTTTAAAAAATCATGTATTTTCACATAGTTCTAAGTCACTTTTTATCCCTACAATTATTTAAAACATTGTAGTTTCATTCGTTCATCCATCCAACCACTCAATCATGCATCCAACAAATGTCTATTTACAGACACGGTATTAATACTTGGGTATTCCCCAGTTACACTAGGTTTTTTCCAGCCTTCCACTGTGATTTTACAGTGTATGTACGGGCTTGGCTTGCCAACAGCATACTTGTATTTGCCTTTTGAATGTGTCTCCTTCCAACTCTAAAACCATGGAAAGAAGTCATATATAGGGAAACTTGAGAGTAATGAGGGGAAAAAATAACATAAACATAGGCAAAGAAGGAGCTCAATTCCTGTCACCCTTATTAGAATGTTAGTGTAGAAGAAAACCATGAGGGGGAAAAAAAAGTAAAAAAAAAAAAAAAAGAAGAAGAAGAGCACAGACTGCCCAGGTTGTGAAATGGTCTTCTTCAACTGCCATTTTCCACCCAAAGATTATAAAGAAGCCCATTATTGCTTCAGTAAAAACTGGCCTGTTAAAAATGGTGAAGTGGCTCATAATCACGTTGGCCAAGAAAGGAAAAGGCAAACCTCACAGGCTGAAGTAGGGGGTGAGAGTCAACACTGCGGTCTCTTTGTTCTTAACAAAGACTCCTGTTTTCAAGACGTTGAGTTTTACCACAGTGGGAGGAATCATCCCAGCGTTTCCAAAACTGCATCAATTTCTTCTACGCATTTTCTGGGACACTTGTGATGCCAAACATGAGCAGGAATACCAAGGTCCATTCTAATTTTTCAGACAGTGGTTTTTCAGACAGAACCTTGATGGGTTTCATCAGAATGCATTTTCTCTGTCATGCTTGTCTGTTTTTAAAATTCCATACTTAATCTTCTATGGCTTAATAAAATATAAACAATTTGTCACGTCCCAATTTTTTTTTGCATATGTCCTACGACAGACAAAAGTTTCTTTCTTTTTTTTTTTCTGCTAGTCACCCAGGCAGAACCTTGATGGGTTTCATCAGAATGCATTTTCTCTGTCATGCTTGTCTGTTTTTAAAATTCCATACTTAATTTTCTATGGCTTAATAAAATATAAACAATTTGTCACGTCCCAATATTTTTTTGCATATGTCCTACGACAGACAAAAGTTTCTTTCTTTTTTTTTTTCTGCTAGTCACCTAAGAAATGAAACTGCCACCGCTAACAAAACCAGGAATGGGACACTAGCACAGGACACAGAAGCGGGGCTCCAAAGACCACAGCGCATAGTTTGGGTAAAACAACAGTGCCCTCTTCTGGCGACAATGAAGAACGAATTACTGTTCAGAAGGGTCTGACAACATTCACAACCAACTTACTGAAAAAGAAAAAAGTAAGCATTGTGAACCCGTGTGTATCCTTTTGAGCAGCTACTCTTGCCTTCGTAGCCCTAAAGTGTTCTGCATTCAAATGAGCAATGCCAAATGTAATCTGGGGTTTGGCCAGTCTGCAAAGATGTGATGCCACTCCTGTGCTCTACAGGCTGGCAAGCAGAGGGCCCAGCACAGACTGCCCAGGTTGTGAAATGGTCTTCTTCAACTGCCATTTTCCACCCAAAGATTATAAAGAAGCCCATTATTGCTTCAGTAAAAACTGGCCTGTTAAAAATGGTGAAGTGGCTCATAATCACGTTGGCCAAGAAAGGAAAAGGCAAACCTCACAGGCTGAAGTAGGGGGTGAGAGTCAACACTGCGGTCTCTTTGTTCTTAACAAAGACTCCTGTTTTCAAGACGTTGAGTTTTACCACAGTGGGAGGAATCATCCCAGCGTTTCCAAAACTGCATCAATTTCTTCTACGCATTTTCTGGGACACTTGTGATGCCAAACATGAGCAGGAATACCAAGGTCCATTCTAATTTTTCAGACAGTGGTTTTTCAGACAGAACCTTGATGGGTTTCATCAGAATGCATTTTCTCTGTCATGCTTGTCTGTTTTTAAAATTCCATACTTAATCTTCTATGGCTTAATAAAATATAAACAATTTGTCACGTCCCAATTTTTTTTTGCATATGTCCTACGACAGACAAAAGTTTCTTTCTTTTTTTTTTTCTGCTAGTCACCTAAGAAATGAAACTGCCACCGCTAACAAAACCAGGAATGGGACACTAGCACAGGACACAGAAGCGGGGCTCCAAAGACCACAGCGCATAGTTTGGGTAAAACAACAGTGCCCTCTTCTGGCGACAATGAAGAACGAATTACTGTTCAGAAGGGTCTGACAACATTCACAACCAACTTACTGAAAAAGAAAAAAGTAAGCATTGTGAACCCGTGTGTATCCTTTTGAGCAGCTACTCTTGCCTTCGTAGCCCTAAAGTGTTCTGCATTCAAATGAGCAATGCCAAATGTAATCTGGGGTTTGGCCAGTCTGCAAAGATGTGATGCCACTCCTGTGCTCTACAGGCTGGCAAGCAGAGGGCCCAGCTGGGTCGCCTATTTCCTCAGCACAGACTGAGCAATTCCCAACCAGCCACAATGCTGATAGAAGGTGTCCTGAGGGCCGCTGGATAGGGACACATTTGTCCACTGGGATGGTCTTGGAGATAATTATAATGACTAGAATCCCTAACATTTCCATAGTCTTACCATGTGCTAAGCACTTTATATGCCTGTTTCATTTAATCTCCACAGCAACCCTAAAAGACTAAGGTCTCATTGGGTGAAACCAGAACATGTGTTTTTTCATAACCACTTACCTACACTGCCTCCTCTCTTTTCCTGACTAGCTATAAGGCCCCTGATTTTCTGTCCTCTGAAACACCAGCTTTGGACACCTGGCACATACACAGTGGATTCACAAGAAGAAGAGAGGAAATAAATTGCTTGGTTTACTTTGCTTCGTGTTGACAGATGTGATAAAGGTGTGACAAATGGGAAGCTGGAATCAATTGACTAAAATTATGTAGTTTTTTTTTTAATCCATTTTTACTCTTTATCCATAATTGATTAAACATCATACCAGATCATTCTTTCATTCTGGCACAGTGTACCCACTCAAGATTGGCACATCAATTCGCAAGCAAAGGAATGTCCTAATCAAATTGCTCTTTTAAATTTAGTTCAGACACAGTTTCTTAACTGTGGAATGAAGCACTGTTTCCCCAGCTAGGATCAAAACCCCAAATATTGAGAGAAACATCTCTTCCCACTTCAATGTCTGCAATCCAAATGTCCGGGGGAGCTCTGTGTGTCCTCCTGGAAGGACCTGGAGAGAAAATGCAGCAGAAAACAAAGGAAGCATTTAACTTCTTGGCTGTATCCAGCAACTGTGACATTGTGTTTAAAAACCAAAGATACATAGATTATGCTAAAGTTTGAAATCTTTATACTGGACAATGGTTTACAGATGCAAAGGACGTTGTCAGTGAGTAGGCACAGAGCCTTCTTGAGCGTGTTACGGTGCTTTTTACTCCTTGAAAAAGCCAAACACAGTAAAACCTCAACTGTCTAGAAGCCAACTCACTAAAATGATTAATAAACATTTTTCCTATACTGGACTTTTAGAGGAAAGATGTTAAACACAAGAAAATATATCCCTGTTGGAGCTTTCTTTTAAAAGCAAATGATGTCTACCTAAGCAATGAATAAATAAGTAATATCTCCAATGGATGAATAAAAATTAACAGTATAGGGCCGGCCCGGTGGCGCACTCGGTAGAGTGGCCCGGTGGCACACTCTGTAGAGTGCGGCACTTGGGAGCGCGGTGGTGCTCCCACCGAGGGTTCAGATCCCATATAGAGGCCGGTCCGCTCACTGGTTGAGTGCGGTGCGGGCGCGACACCGAGGGTTGCGATCCCGTTACCGGTCACGAAAAAAGACAAAAAAAAGGAAAAAAAAAATTAACAGTATAAGGGCAATATTGATGAGCAGAACAGAAAACAGAAACTGTTCCATATGCTTCCCTCTGCAGAGTGGGCTGGAGATGGGGAGGGTCAGGGACTGCCTCTTTTTCCCTTGTCCTTCTGTACTCTGTGCATCCATGTGTATTTACTACTTTGATTAAAGATAAGAATTTTTAAAAGTCAACTACAAAAAATAAATATGTTATTTTTAATAGAATAAAGAGTCAGCATAGAAATGGCTTTATCTCCTAAAGTTTGGACCATATGGAATAATTTTTATGAAGCAATGCAAGTTTCTCAGGCATTGAATGATATGACCATTCATGGAGAACTTTAGTTTTTGAGTGCTTTTATGTTTTGTAATGCTCAAATATCCCTGGCAAGTTAGATACATGTTATAATTATCAGGCCCTATTTTACTGATGAGAAACTGAGTGAGAGAATAACTGCCTTGCCCAGGCTCACATATTTGCTGTGTGGTGGTACTGCAGCCTGAACACAGCTTCTCTTGGTCTCCATTAAACTACCTCTGTCTTCTCACTGTGTGCCCAGCCCTTAGTGCAGCACTTAGTAGTAACAATAAATATTTATAGAATGAATGAATGATTAACAAATGAATGAGTGACTCTTCCTATTACTCACAAAGAAATATCAGAATTATGCTCATTGCTCTACACTTCTGAGGCAAGAAAGTCTAATAAAACATTTTAAATAGATTTTAAACTTGGACTAAACCCATATGATTTGTCTTATGTTATCTGGAAAAATCCCATTTCCAGAATATTTTGTTTAATCAGAGTTTCCTCGGATGGCTTAAGAAATAGGACCATATTCAGAGACATCACTTAAAAGAAAGTTCCCCCCTAATCTCCAAACAAGGACAATCATCAACATACGAGAATAAACCTGTGCAAATAACCTAAGTCTCCTTTGAAGCATGAAACATTCCAAATATGAACTGACTGGCATCTCTGGGCTTTTCCTCTCAAGTTAAAGAGTGTTAAATCACCCGAAGAGCAAGTCACCCAAAGGGTGAGATAATTCATTTCTGCTCCTTGGTGATTAAGTGGTCTGTATTCCTTGGTGCTAGAAATGATAAGACTTAGGTAATGGAAAACCTGAGCATATCTCCCAGGTGGAAAAGGTTCCCAGTAAGTAATGGGTTATTTACTTATTTATTGGTAGCTGGCTGGTACAGGGATCTGAACTCCAGTCCTCGATGTTACAACACCACGCTCTAACCAACTGAGCCAACCAGCCAACCAGCAGTGGGTTATTCCAACATGCCAGCACAAATCCTCCCGGCCTGTGGTCAGGTAGGTAAGTCTATTCATCACTCTGTGTAAAACTACCCTTATACTCCACAAACTAGGAATTACTTAAAAAGTCTAACCCTAAATTCTTTTGCTTGGTCTCATAACTTAACTCTAGTGTGAGGAGCCTACATATAAATTAAATTAATGATCTCTTTTATGTTACTAGGTGGTACATGTACATGGATCATTTATAAATAATAATGTCCATTCAGACTCACGCCATGATTTACGCAGCATGTTGAATCCTCTCAACAATCCTGTGAGGTAGACACTATCATTACCTCTGTTTTGCTAATGGGGAAATGGGGGTAAAGATGCCTTTAAACTTGCCCGAGAACTCAGTTAGTAAATGGCAGAATCCAGATCCCAGGCTTTCTTATCCAGAACCTATGTTCTCCTAGGTTGTGGACCTGCTGGTCCCCTTGTACACTGAGCAAGCAGCCCCTGAATACACAGTAGCTTTTGCCGTCATATATTTTCTCAATTAATGTATACTAAAATTATAGCAGCTCTAGTGTTGGTGGACTTTATACAAAATTTTTACCTTTAAAGGGGTTCTTGTAGTTGGATAGTAATTATGAATCTTCAGACATGAACTTAGAAGTATAAAAAAATGTAACTTTCTTTCTCCAAATCAAGACTTCACTTTTATTATAAGTCCTTAATCTGTTAGTTTGGTGGAAACGTAATTTGAGTCACTTAAGGTATTCCCTCCCATACGCCTACTTTTCCCCAGGGTTGTGTTCAAGTCCTGAAGTGCATTTGAGGAGCCAAAAGTTCGGTGATGGAGACCCACCTGGTCCTCCCCACACGTGCCCACAGCACCAGCACCAAGACAACCAGCTGATCTCCAACAGGAGGTTCCTTGGTCATCCCAACTTCTCTGCCCCTCTCAGTCACCTGTGTCATTTTGCTGCTCCTGCTCCATGCTAGAAACTCTTTGAGATTGTCTGAGACCCTTTCTTCGGGAACACACAGCACAGCCTTCTCCCTCTGAGGTCTTGCCAAGTCCAGGCCCATCCCATAAGGAGTAAAGGGGAAAAGCCTCCTTATTAGGGAACAACTATATCAATCACTTTTAATGCCCTCTTTGCTTTACTGAAATGGAATTTATAGATAATATAATCTATCAAATATAACTTCAAAAAACTCAATAAAGTTCCTTAACTGTAATGTAAAGGAGAAACAGAAAACTATAATAAAATTATATGCACTCAAATATGTGAATGTCCTACTAGCAAGACTACCCTAAAAGACATTCTAAAGGAGTCAGATGGTCACACACATATGCAGAATCATTGTGAACACATATTGATGAGGGCACTTCAAAAAGCTCATGGAAAAATAGAATTAAAAGATAATACAAATCTTTCCATGACCGTTTTGAAGACCCCTCATATCTACAGATATAGACCAAACCCTGGTACTATATTGGCCATCCAAGTACCATGACTCACATTACATTGGTAGATTTTTTACAAAATGATGATCCACTCTTGCTAAAGTTCCAAAGACAACAAAGAGTTGTCCCCCAATTTACACAATAGTCCTACTTTCAGATAATTCAGTGACTATTAAAACACTACAAAAATAATACATAATAAGCCAACTTCCCCTTCTATCAAAGATGAAGTAACAAGGAGATTTACCCTGTCACCCGAAACAACAAAAATCATACAAAGTGTATATGAAACAATTGGATCATCAGGCAACAAAGGCCAACCTTATGGGCCAAGGTTTCAGGACTTCCCTGGATCTATTCCCGCAAGACCTCAATTTTAAAACATTGAATATAATCCACTCTCTTTGCTTGAATGTATAGATATAGATTTATAACTTGCTAAATGAAGCTTCCATAGAAGTTGTTGTGATGGTAATATAGATGTTGTTGTAGTTAATTTTGGCTAAACATAATACCTTCAACCCCTGATAAAATTCCTGGAATTGTAAAAATATCGACTATATCAATCACTTTTAATGCCCTCTTTGCTTTACTGAAATGGAATTTATAGATAATATAATCTATCAAATATAACTTCAAAAAACTCAATAAAGTTCCTTAACTGTAATATAAAGGAGAAACAGAAAACTATGATAAAATTATATGCACTCAAATATGTGAATGTCCTACTAGCAAGACTACCCTAAAAGACATTCTAAAGGAGTCAGATGGTCACACACATATGCAGAATCATTGTGAACACACATTGATGAGGTCACTTCAAAAAGTTCATGGAAAAATAGAATTAAAAGATAATACAAATCTTTCCATGACCTTTTTGAAGACCCCTCATATCTACAAATATAGACCAAACCCTGGTACTATATTGGCCATCCAAGTACCATGACTCACATTACATTGGTAGATTTTTTACAAAATGATGATCCACTCTTGCTAAAGTTCCAAAGACAACAAAGAGTTGTCCCCCAATTTACACAATAGTCCTACTTTCAGATAATTCAGTGACTATTAAAACACTACAAAAATAATACATAATAAGCCAACTTCCCCTTCTATCAAAGATGAAGTAACAAGGAGATTTACCCTGTCACCCGAAACAACAAAAATCATACAAAGTGTATATGAAACAATTGGATCATCAGGCAACAAAGGCCAACCTTATGGGCCAAGGTTTCAGGACTTCCCTGGATCTATTCCTGCAAGACCTCAATTTTAAAACATTGAATATAATCCACTCTCTTTGCTTGAATGTATAGATATAGATTTATAACTTGCTAAATGAAGCTTCCATAGAAGTTGTTGTGATGGTAATATAGATGTTGTTGTAGTTAATTTTGGCTAAACATAATACCTTCAACCCCTGATAAAATTCCTGGAATTGTAAAAATATCATGGTTGAATTGCCTCCATTAAAATCCATGGGATTATACACTGTGCTGACCTGAGCGTGGAGGCTGCAGCTACTGCTGCTGAGGAGGCTGGGGGCTGAGCTTGCATCTGAATGGGGCATGTCAGCTTTTCCGGTGGCTCCCTGGATCTTTTTCCAACTGCCTAGCTTGCAACCTGAATGTGAGGGGTCTGGTGACCCAGTCTATACAACAGGTGTGAAGGGTCTGTGAGCCCTAGCCCAATAAGGTTCTAAATCAGCCATAAGGCCACACCCATGCCAAACTTCTTAATCTCCTATGCAACAAAGGATAAAGATGTCATTGATCCTATGGACACCAGTTTGGGTGGCTGCAAGG